GCCTTGTGATAATCTGTCCATTTGCTTATCCAATCATTTCTGAGAGTCTTTGATCTAAAATCAGTGAATATGCATAACAAGAAGAGCATGTGTGTATTTTACCAATAAACTGTGAAGGAGGAGGAGATGTGAATCAAACCACTGCGTATGTCTCGTTCTTTCTTTACTGGAAGAAAATTTCATGTCAACGTGTAAATAGATTTGCAAACACATTTATTTAATATTAAATGTGATCTATTCAGTGATCAATGTCTCCATCAGCTGGTGTTTATCTTTGGACTGAAGAAGCTTATGGAGGATGTTGGCAGGGTCTTCACTGATTCCTGAAGACAACACCTTCCAGACGCAGGTATAGATGTAGGAGTATGGCGTCTACACAGGTGAACTTGTTCTGCAGGAGAACGTCCTTCAATTTCTCTCCTGAACGCTGAGTTTCTCATAAGATCTCCAGTGTGGAGCAGCATCTCTTTCAAATGATGGACGCTCTGCTGCGGCGCTCAGACCTGATGATGAAGGATGAAGCTTTACTTCTTGAAGCTCTGGAGAGATGAGCTGAGACAATGCTGATGAAAATAATTCAGAAAACAGAATCACATCTGCTTCCTCTTGATCCCAGTGGATGAACTAAATGAAATACAGTTTTCCTCAAGCGCTCTCCATCAGAGTCATGAGAAACTCTACCTCACTGATCTGCTCAGAGGTTTTCAGTTCAACGCTCTGCTCTTCTCTAAGATCAGGAATCAAATGCATGATATGAGTAATGAGTATCTACCAAGAATCTGCACTGGAGATGAGTGGAGTGTATTTATCAATGTCTGCACCTTTAATTCCCCAAACCATGACCAAAATAACAGAATGCAAAGCTTTTCCACTCCTACACACACTAGTGCTTTTTACAGAGAACAGAAGCTGCAGAGGAAAGCCCAGGTTTTTCTCAGTGATCAGGAATGCTCTAATAATGGTGTTTCATGTCGTGAGGTTCCCCGCTAATGGCAAACAGAACAGTTACACTAGCAGCATTCACTCTAGCAACAGTTCGATTCTCAGCTAAAATTCTAACAATTCAATAGCGAACAGCTAGTCATTATTCAGTCAAATTTAACATAATTTCCTTATATGCTCGCTGCTGCTGCACTAAACGTGAACACTAGAAAAGATAAGCTCTGAACCTGATGAAAACAATACGGAAATAACTTAAAATGATGCTCAAACTGTATAAAGTGTGTTTGATGATTGTGTAAATATGAGAAATACCGTGAACTGCTCGCCTAATAATTTATTAGGCATTTAAAGCTCTAGTGAGAAAATTAAAACATGGAAAGCTCAAAAAGCAAATGACTTTCACAAGTAAAAATAATGAATGAATTTTGATGCAAGCAGAATCAAGAGGAAATCAAAATGGAAAACAAATTGTAAGGAAAACAGGTCAGTTTAGCTCAAAGGGAATTATTTATGATATTTATAGGGAATTTGGTCAGAATCACTGTTTTACGGCTGATCAGTCGGCCAGCGATTCATTGATCGAGCCTTATAACATCAATCCACAATATAGTAGAAGCACTTTATTAGCATGGTAACAAGATCGGCAGTTTAAGACAGTAACTTGTAAGCACAAAACAAAAGATACTTCTCTTTTCGATGTACGTAAGACTTTATTGGAGAAATCAAAAAGACATGTAAACTAATCTAACACAAACACATGCACTCACACATTCACACAAGTTGCAGAAATAAAGTGAGGAAAGAATGAGTCTGAGAGAGTGAATATGTGAAATCCCAAGTTTATAGCAATATAGGCAATTGCTTAGACCTGAACAGCCTTTAATCAATAAACCCTTGCATTGATTTTCTCAGTGAGGCTAATAAACTTTATATTAAATGCACCAGTTCAGCAAGAATCTGGAGGTTGCACTTGCATTGCCTTTGTTTTAAGGGAATTCCTTTTGTATGGCATGGCTGCAGAAAGGGGTTTCCCAAGGTTGTTGATTGGCTGGAAGTTCAGTAGTCATTGGAAGTGAGGTCTTGGGTGCTGGCTGAAGGATGGTGTGGAGTCGTGTACGCTGGTTGAAGTTTTTAAGCTGGTGCAGACAACATCTGACATGGCTTTGCGGCAAAGCTTAGAATGCAAAACTCTCAATGGGAAAAGAAAAGAAACTGATGTAGAAGAAAGAAACAAAAGCTGATGAGACTAGACGGCTTATCTTCTCATGGTGGTTGAGTAGCAGCGGGCGTGCAGGCCAAAGCACACTGGAAGAGAGCTCGAAGAACACAAAAAGCAGTGGCAAAAAGCCCCCCAAAAAACCTGTCAAAAAGCCAAGAGACTACATTTGTTGGTGTTGTGAGTTTTCAAACTCATCTGTTGGACACATGTCAAAAGGTGTCTTGATCAAATAGACATCTCATGTCTTATTTCGGGGGGTTGCTATGTTTCACCTCCCAATACACAAATCAACGTGTTATGTCACATAGTCCGAATTTCCCCACTCTCGCAGAATATAATTTAGACATGATTTTTATAACAAGAATATGATATGTTGAATTCTCAAACACAAACATACCAAGCATGAATAAAAACCTATGAACTGTTCAATAGTTATTAAAAATGACATACACAATCAGTGATTAGAACATGAGAGTCAAATGTGTTGGTTACATTCATCATATGAAGTTATGTATCAGAATGATATTTGTTCATTAGTTCTTTTAGCATTGTTTGCTTGATCTGATGCATTTAGTCATGTAGAGACAGTCTCTGTGTCGTTCTGTGAATGTGAAGACGTGTTCTGTGAGGAACAAAAGGTCAAAAGGGTCTAGAAGGAATCTCAGTCTGGTTCTTGTCGTCTAGGTGGAAGAAGTAAATCCGAGGAACTCTTTAGCTTGTAATTTATATAATGGATTTACATGTGATGGTCATGCTGTGCTTCTCTTTGACCATTTATCTTGGTTACTTGCCCCAAATTTGACAATCTCCTTCCTGAGTTGAATTATCAGTAAGTGTTCTTTTGTTTTAATGCTGCAAGCTGTTCAAAGCTGTGAAAGAGTTGGTTGGTTAGGCTTACTTCAGGCTGGTGATGGGATCTGATTTATAATCATCCTGTTGTCTTGGGCATCTTTGTGGAATTCGGCTTTCTGTTTCAACACTGTTCAGTTTGAATCTTAAATTGTCTGATTCGCTCTGATATGCTACATTGTTGATACAATGAATAATACGTTTAAAGGGGTCATCGGATGCAACAGTCACTTTTACATATTGTTTGAACTTAAATGTGTGTTGGCAGTGTGTACACAACTACCCTAAGTTGTCCTTTCTGGGTAAAACTCTTTCCACACTGAGAGCAGGTGTAAGGCTTTTCTGTAGAGTGAGTTACCAAATGATTCTTAAGTTGTCCTTTCCGTGTAAAACTCTTTCCACACTGAGAGCAGGTGAAAGACTTTTTCCCAATATGAATTAACATGTGAGTCTTAAGGCTTGGTTTATGTGTAAAACTCTTTCCACACTCAGAGCAGGTGAAAGGCTTTTTCCCAGTATGAATTAGCATGTGCCTATTAAGGTTTGATTTATATGTAAAACTCTTTCCACACTGAGAGCAGGTGAAAGACTTTTTCCCAATATGAATTAACATGTGAGTCTTAAGGCTTGGTTTATGTGTAAAACTCTTTCCACACTCAGAGCAGGTGAAAGGCTTTTTCCCAGTATGAATTAGCATGTGCCTATTAAGGTTTGATTTATATGTAAAACTCTTTCCACACTGAGAGCAGCTGTAAGGCTTTTCTGAAGTGTGAGTTACCAAATGAGTCTTAAGTTGTCCTTTCTGTGTAAAAGTCTTTCCGCACTGAGAGCAGGTGAAAGAATTTTCAGAAGTGTGAGTTACCAAATGAGTCTTAAGTTGTCCTTTCCGTGTAAAAGTCTTTCCGCACTGAGAGCAGCTGAAAGGCTTTTTCCCAGTATGAATTAACATGTGCTTCTTAAGGCTTGGTTTATGTGTAAAAGTCTTTCCGCACTGAGAGCAGGAGAAAGACTTTTCCCCAGTATGAACTAACATGTGAGTCTTAAGGCTTGCTTTATATGTAAAACTCTTTCCACACTGAGAGCAGGAGAAAGGCTTTTTCCCAGCATGAATTAACATGTGAGTCTTAAGGTTTGCTTTATATGTAAAACTCTTTCCACACTGAGAGCAGGAGAAAGACTTTTCCCCAGTATGAACTAACATGTGAGTCTTAAGGCTTGCTTTATATGTAAAACTCTTTCCACACTGAGAGCAGCTGAAAGGCTTTTTCCCAGTATGAATTAACATGTGAGTCCTAAGGCTTGCTTTATATGTAAAACTATTTCCACACTGAGAGCAGCTGAAAGGCTTTTCCCCAGCATGAATTAACATGTGAGTCTTAAGGCTTGCTTTATATGTAAAACTCGTTCCACATTCAGGGCAGGTGAAAGGCTTTATTCCAGCATGAATTAACATGTGATGCCTCAGGTTTCTTTTACTTGTGAAACTCTTTCCACACTGAGAGCAGCTGAAAGGCTTTATTCCAGTATGAATTAACATGTGCCTCTTAAGGCTTGTTTTACGTGTGAAACTCTTTCCACACTGAGAGCAGCTGAAAGGCTTTATTCCAGTATGAATTAACATGTGCCTCTTAAGGCTTGTTTTACGTGTGAAACTCTTTCCACACTGAGAGCAGCTGAAAGGCTTTTCTGAAGTGTGAGTTACCAAATGATTATTAAGTTGTCCTATCTGTATGAAACTCTTTCCACACTGAGAGCAGCTGAAAGGTTTTATTCCAGCATGAATTAACATGTGCTTCTTAAAGCTTGCTTTCTGTGTAAAACTCTTTCCACACTGAGAGCACCTGAAAGGCCTTTTGACTTCTGTTTTTTTAATGCTGCAACTCACTGATTTTTCTCCAGTCACATCACAATCCTTCTGATCCTGATATTTCTCCTCCTCCTCATTCAGATCTTGTCTTTCTTCTTTCATTTTCATCAGACCTAAAATTAAATCATTATAAAGATGAAAATCAGTTGGTGCGTTTGAAAAATAAAAAAAGGATAAAATATTTGTGTACAGACGAAAACAATGTCAAAACTGTCCCTTTTTAACACAGATCTATGAAAATGTCTAAAAACACTGCATTATGCTGCCAGGCCAGTAGATGGCGATGCCATTTTGTAAAGAAACACTACAGATTGACAGCTCCAGCAAACAGGGTTTGTTCTTTGATCACTTTCTGTAATTTAACTAGGACTGCAACAACTAATCGATACAACTGATTATTATCGATAATGAAAATCATCCACAATGATTCTCATTATCGATTACCCGGGTCTGCCCACAGTGCACGTCCAACTTCATCCGGTCGCGTCAAATTATAGCACTGAATTACGCATTTCTATGGACAAAATGCATCTAAAAATAGTGGAGGAAACAGAATGAGATGCTGCGGGAGAGTTACGTGATCCAAGATGCCCAAAACATGAGAATTCTTTATTTGAAGCTTTAAGCTAATGCATTAGCGCAATGGCTTGCCCTGTCAGGCGCTTTGACAGATGAAATAAGGTAATACATTTATAAATACTTATGTATTTATTTTTACTTTTTTTACTTTTCTCTGTATATTTATGTATTTATTTTTGCTTTTTAAATTTTTTTTGTACACATTTCTAATTATGGCAGGATTGGCATTCCAATCAAAACCAGTCATAAGGGTCAATTTTTGTAAACTTTGTACATTTAAATTGTATATTTCACAATCTGAAAGCTGAATAAATAAGCTTTCTATTGATGTATGATTTGTTAGGATAGGACAATATTTGGCCGAGATACAGCTATTTGGAATATATCTGGAATCTGAGGGTGCAAAAAAACATCTTTGAAGTTGTCAAAATAAAGTTCTTAGCACTGCATATTACTAATCAAACATTAAGTTTTGATATATTTATGGTAGGAAATTTACAAAATATCTTCATGTAACGCAATCTTTACTTAATATCCTAATGATTTTTGGCATAAAAGACAATGTATTTATGGCTATTGCTTTTTTTGACAGATATTGCGATTTTAAATTTGCAAAGTTCAGCACAATATTGTCAATAATGTGCAGCACAGTATGGTTATCATTACCCTGCTGAAAAAAAACAATAGAAACCATCACAGAAATTTTTATAGTTTCCATTAAACCATTACAAAATTCCTTTTTGTTTTGGGCATTATTCCAATAGGAATTACTGTTGTTCTATTGGTTGCCATCTGCCAGATTACATCCCACCAATAGAATCCATCAAATAGACACCATTCCACATTTATTTTTCCTCTGCACAACATGCTAATGAGAGGGTGTCAACCATGGACTTGGTCGGGCTCGTGTCATAGCTGGGGCCGCGGCATTGGGAAAACAATCCTTTCCCTCTGACAGGAAATGCATGGTGTTAATCCAGTATGGCCTAAAGTCACTTTTTTCGTTCAGCAGAGCAAGATGCATAAAAAACTGAGCTGTATTGTCCGTACAATATCTGTGACTTTACAAACGACCCAACGAAATTGCCAGTGTCGTTTCCTGACGTAATTTTTTGTAACCCGATTGAGTCTCCACCTAGAGACAACTGTAATATCACTATCCCATGGTCATCGTGAGACTATTCACTTTATCCGTGGAATAAGGGCTCGTTCTTTTGATGGCAGCTAGTGTTAATTAAGATGGTTTTACCTGCTCGTTGTTTAGGTACGTGTAAGATCCTTTTTGTGGTCAGTAAACAGTCTTCTACAACCAAGTCGATCTGCAGCAATCTCTCTCTCTCTTTACAGCACTACAAATATACCTATGCTACTTATGACTGCTTTTGTGCTCCAGGGTCACATATATCTTACAGTAAAAGTCTGTTTGCATTGCCGTTTGCAAAGCCTGCTGCAAAACTGTTTTTTGATTCACAGTGAAATGTAACGAATAGGGATGGACAATATCTTATCGTTTGCGATATACTGGTAAAAATTCTCCACACAATAAGAATTTGTCTTCCCGCGATAATAACAATAAAGTTTAGCTGTTGACATATTTCTGTGTGCGACTTGTGTGGAGTTACGTGAAGGAAGGTGGACGTGAAATTGAGCAGCTCCTTCTACAATCTGGAACAGGTTTGGA